GAATTTTTATCTTATATTTTTAATAATTTATTTTTTATCTTATATTTTATTGGTAATGGGTCCATACAAAAGTAGGTACACTTCCCATCCTCATTTCCATTTCCAGCCCCATCACCTGTTCATGATAGGAATGAGGATTTTTATGGAAATTTTCGATGGTATTCACAACACTTCCCATCCCCATTTCCATTTCTAGCCCCATCACTTGTTGATGATAAGAATGAGGATTTTTATGGAAATTTTTGATGGAGTCAAAAATACTCTTTGTCTCATATGGTGAAGAATGATAGGTCACATAGGTATATGATTTTTTTATTGAGAATTTTTATCTTATATTTTAAATAATTTGTTTTTTATCTTATACTTTATTGGTAACGGGTCCATAGAAAAGTAGGTATACTTCCCATCCTCATTTCCATTTCTAGCCTCATCACCTGTTGATGATAGGAATGAGGATTTTTATGAAAATTTTCGACGGGGTACACAACATTTCCCATTACCATTTCCATTTCCAGCCCCATCACCTGTTGATGATAGGAATGAGGATTTTTATGGAAATTTTCAACAAGGTACACAACACTTCCCATTCCCATTTCCATTTCCAGCCCCATCACTTGTTGACAATAGGAATGTGGATTTTTATGAAAATTTTTTATGGGATCAAAAATACTCTTTGTCTCATATGGTGAAGAACGATAAGTCCCATAGGTATATGATTTTTTTATTGAGAATTTTTATCTTATATTTTTAATAATTTGTTTTTTATTTTATATTTTATTGGTAACGGGTCCATTCAAAAGTAGGTATACTTGCCATCCCTATTTCCATTTCCAGCCCCATCACCTATTGATGATAGGAATGAGGATTTTTATGGAAATTTTTGATGGGATACACAACACTTCCCATCCCAATTTACATTTCCATTTCCAGCCCAATCACCTGTTGATGATAGGAATGAGGATTTTTAGGGAAATTTTTGACAAGGTCAAAAATACTCTTTGTCTCATATGGTGAAGAACGATAGGTTCATAGGTATATGAATTTTTTAGTGAAAATTTTTATATTATATTTTTAATAA